TAACTCCTCACTTATTTCATTTATTCTTTCCTTGTTTCCTCCACTTTCTGTGGTCATTCAGTCATCTTTGGGCTTTTTTGGCACCCCCCCCCCAATAATTTTTAAAGATAGGGTAATTGTATGTACTTCTGCAATCTAACATTTCATTTACTGTGTTAAAGCTTCTTAAAGATGGATGGTGTTGTTCCAGGTGCATAAGAAACTGCCCTTTCATTCTTGAACAGGTGACAATAAAGAGGATGATTATGTTACAACTTTGATTCTCTTTAAAAAAACGTCCATCTTAAAATGTATTGTTACCAGATGTTTATAGGTACTCCTGGCCAAACGTGTATTTCTGGGTTGGTTTTTATTACTGAGTGAGGTTTGGTGTAGTTGTTTGAGCAGTGAACTTTGACTCTGGAGAGCAGGGTTTGAATCTGGATATTTTAGAAATCACTCTTAGCCTCAGAGGAAGGCAATGACAAATTTCTTTTGAACTCATCTTGCCAAGAAACCCTGTGATAAGGCAGCCTAGGATTTGAAGGCACACAACAACAACAACAGGCTTGGAGGAAAGTGAAAGTGTTTTGTGAGGTTTTCAAAGAAGCCTTGAAATCATGCAATGAATGTTAAACAATTGGATGCTTGTATCAGTTGTCATTTAGGAGTAGAAAACTTTCAAATGTACATAACTTTAGAATAGCAAAGAATAATCACAGACTTTCAGAGCATTCTTGTATAAGCTTGCACAAATAATATTTACACCTAGATGGGAGGTATACCTGTGGACATAGGGCATTAGGTGCATTGTGAATTAATACTGAAAGAGGATTACGTGTAATTACATGTGCAGCATAATGCTGCAGTGCTCTACTTTGTCCACCTTTTTGCCGGTGATTAGCTTTCAAGTATCTGTTGAGGGCTTTCTGAACTATTCTTGTCCTGTACTGGACATGTATGCATACTCTTCTCTCTTTCTGATTATAAATGGGATTAAGGGATGCCTTAAACCAGAGCAGAAAAAAAACCAACTCTGACTTTTTTTTACATTTTGTCACCTTTTTTTCATCTTAAAGGTGAGATGTATTCAGCTACATCTAAATTATGCATGATTCTGATAGACTTGTTCACTGTAGACTAGAAAAATAGGTGTCTCAGAGTATTTGGGCCTGTAGTTTTCAAAGAAGTGTCATTTTATTAATTTTGGGGTTGTGCATTTGAGATTACAACTTCTCTGGTGTGCTTCATTTCTTTGATTTACTGTGTTCTGTTGTCAGGGTTGCTAAATGATTATGTTATGCTTGGACTAGGACCACAATACAGAATATGTATAGGAGTCTAGGTTGGAAAGTGTTTGTATGTTTTGGTGGAAAGTGTAATATTAAATGTGTGTTCTGTGTTTTAAAAGTAAAGAAATAAGTACAGGGCTGTGTCTGTATCAAGATAGTGGTGTTTTAATTAGATGTTTATCATTTTTGTTACAAAGAAAGGCAAGGTCACCTTGTGAGACAAAAGCACTGTGACTCTTGAATAATACATTGCAATGTTATAATAATGTGTGAATACTCAGAGGGGAAAAACATTGTTGTCCAGTCCAAGAATGAGTGCATTGTGTGTTGGGAATTGCAAGATGTCTGAGAAGAAGTTCAGCATTTTGTCATGTAGACTTGTTCCTATAATTGAAGAGGGAAACACCCTATGTTTTGATAGAGAGCCACAAAGTTAATATTTAGAGCAATTTGCTGATAGAGATTAAGTGTCTGGTCTTCACTGTTCCCCTAATTTCACAGTTTGCTGTGTATATACCTTATTTCTGCCCCAAATATGAATGCCTACTATGTCATATTCTGCTTTTAAATGGTGCATTGCCCAATTTTGGGATATTTCCTCCCTCTGTTCATGCAAGAATACCCCATTTAATAGGGTTTTTTCATCCTGAAGAGAGGATAGGGAAGTTGGCTACATTGGTTCATTTAATGCACCAAAATCTGGATCCACCCCATTTTTCATACATACATTATCTCAGTAATTTTCTTCAGCCATAGCAAAGAGAGGGAAAAGAAACTGGAAACACTGGACCAGTTGTATATACTAATACCTGATCTGCCCCATTTATTTTTTATGCGTGCATTATCTCAGTAACTCTCCACAACCTTGTTATAATAGCTTATAAATATTGAAGCATGACAAGGTGGTGATTTGAGATGTTCCGGCAGATAGTGCAAAACTGTGCACTTTCTTACCATATGGATTCTCACCTCTGCTCCAGTATGATAGAGCACAAGCATGTATGAATGTGTACATGTCAAAGCTCCTAGTGTTTGGTTTGGAGGAAAGAGGACACTTTAAACCTTTCAGGAGATCTTTAATTTCTGTCCTGAAATACCCTCTGGGGGCATTATCATCACATTTTGGGTGACGGGGGAGGGGGAAGGCTATTTCAAAGCCCAGGGGCTCCCATTTCTAAATTATCTCTCTTGGACCAAAATGAGATGGGAGCCCTGAAAACATGGCACTTTTAGCTCCCAAGAGCCACAAGAACAATCCTTGGGGCACATGAAACCTCTAGTCCCCATTTTTTTTTCATTTCTCCTCTGCATGAACAAATTTTTATTTGTTTTTCTTCCTTGTATTTGTATTTGCATTGTGTATTAAGTTTTATTTCTTTATGTAATGCACTCTGTAAATATTAATGAAGAAAGGCATAAACATGAAGCTTTTACAAAGCTATTTTGTAAATCTCAACATGCAAATATACTATTTGCATTTGGGAAACATGCAATTTGACTAATGACTTTGCAACCAGACATTCCATGCCTCAGGTGAGTCTACTGTGACATGATTTTCTCCTTCCTGTCTTTCCCAGACATGGTTGCGTGTGTGTTAATTCAGTTGTCATTTTATATCAAGAGGGTTAATTGTATTTCTCCTTAAATAACCCATTGAGAATCATAAAGTTGTCAGGTTTCAATCTAGTTAGGATTTTTTGTGTAACTTTAGCCATCCTCTTCCTCCTAAAAGATTGATTCTGTCTTTCTGGCTGTGAAATCCACAGCGATATCCATACAAAATGGAAGAAGTAGGCTGTTAATGAGCCCATACACCAGTGGTTCTCAACCTGTGGGTCCCCAGATGTTTTGGCCTTCAAATCCCAGAAATCCTAACAGTTGGTAAAGTGGCTGGGATTTATGGGAGCTGTAGGCCAAAATACCTGGGGACTCACAGGTTGAGAACCACTGCCATACACAATCTCTTTTGGGGTGGCATAAGGCTGTATTTAGGGAGTTTTCAAGTTCAGGAGGTTATATGTTCAGGAAGCAGGTAGTATTTTTCTTCAGCTCATCCAGGATCCCAATCTTCTAACACATTCAGATCCTCCACTAGTTCATATTGGATTTGTGGACACATTCATTTTCCCAAAGTATGAAAAGGCTTGCTCAGATTACTTTTTTAGAGTACATGGAGTTTTGAGGACAGGAAGCTCAACGAAATCCTTCTCAGTTCCTCCTCTTATGCCAATGCAGGATTACTCCTAACAGATCTTTTCTAGAAACTGTATATGAACAGTGATTGGAAGTGTTTTGCATGATCTGCCATGGACAGGATGATTGTTATTGGACTGGGTGAGGATCACAAGATAATGTTTAGAAGGGAGGCCCAAATTCAAAAAGTTCAGCTTGTAAAAGCTTGTATAACACTAGCTTGAAGGCATGTGATGGTCTGGTTTAAAGTCGCATGATGAAATTACATCATTCAAACTAAATTGGTCTCTTTTCAGTGTCCAGATCGCCTGTAGGTAAGGCCTAGGTCAGCAGCTTTCAGTTCAGCTCAATGCTATAAATATCTCCTTCAAAATATCTCCTCTTTGCAAGGTTTTTAAAACATAAATGCCTCCAGGTACTCTCTTATTCCAGTCTCCTGTCGGAGTTAACAATGGGGAGAAGGCTTGCAGGCTAAATGGGGAATCCTTGCAGTCTAGAGGTTTCTCATTCCTGATGTGGGAAAATGTGTGTATGTGGCGGATATGTGTTCCTTGAAATTGCTATGTTGATAATGAAGTGCCTCATTTGTTCCTCCCTCTCAGTTTGCATACATTCCTGACTCTTCATGTATGAGAGACATTGCCTCTGCTTTTGACTCTGATTATTGACCACATGCACTTATAACTTTATTCATAGAGGAGGAGGAGGCAGAGTTTCACACAGAATGAATCTCAAAACAGATGTTTGATAGGGTCCATGGTATTGATCTTTCCACATGATAAGCAATCCAGACGGAATTGCAGCATGGAGAAAAGTCTCCCATCATCTTAATTTCTGGCACTCTAACCCCACCCCTTCTGTTTAAGAATTAATGTGCATCCAGTAATAAAAGAAGATGCAGAATTTTGAAATAGTGCTGTATCGTTCTGTGTTAAGACTCTAAATTTTCATTTCAAGGGTGATTTTCCACTAGACTCAGGGGAATTTATGAAGCACAACATCTCCCATATACAGCAATTTGCTTTCATGTCAGGAGCAACTTGAGAACCTGCAAGTTGCTTCTGGTGTGAGAGAATTGGCCATCTGCAAGGACGTTGTCCAAAGGACACTCTGATATTTTGATGTTTTATTATCCTTATGGGAGGCTGCTCTCATGTCCCCGTAATGTGGAGCTGGAGCTGATAGAGAGAGCTCATCCACGCTCTCCCCGCATTCAAACCTGCAACTTGTTGGTCTTCAGTCCTGTCGGCACAAGGGTTTAACTCAGCAAAGATATTATATACTGTCTCCTAGAGAGAGGTTATTTTACTGTATGAATTATAACAGGACACATTCTGTTCTTGATATAGCAATGAATTAAGTGTTTTATACCCCCTCTGTTCTGATCAACTGTATTAGTAGCTGATGCCTGGGGAAAGAGACAATAAAGGCATAACAGTGTGAGTCTGAGAAAGGGGAACCATGTTATAAAATGATTTCTTCCTTTCTCCCAGTACAAAAGCTTATTTAAACCAAAACATTTTTCTTCCTCTGCAGTGGTAGCCGTTCTTCTAAAACTTTTAAACCAAAGAAGAATATTCCTGAAGGCTCCCACCAGTATGAGCTACTGAAGCATGCAGAAGCCACGCTTGGAAGTGGCAACCTAAGGATGGCGGTTATGTTGCCTGAGGGTGAAGACCTCAATGAATGGGTTGCAGTGAACAGTAAGTAACCTGACTTTTTTTTTGTCTCCTGAATATTTTGGCAACGAATATGGACTGCTAACTAGATAGGGAGATATATTTTTTTCTCTTCAGCAGAACAGATTCTTCCTAAAGATTAATATATAGAGATTTCATATAGTTTGTGGCATATCACACACAGACACTGAACCATGAATTTACCATGAACATATCCTCACAACTTCTGAGGATGGCTGCCATAGGTGTGGGTGAAACATTAGAAGAGAATGCTTCTGGAACATGGCCATACAGCCCGGAATACTCACAGCAACCCAGTATCATATCTTGTTTTGAAGCTTTTCTTAGATTAAGAACACAGTAGGTAGCCTCAAAAAAGTTAGTTTTCCAAATTAAACAATCTTCATCCCAGTTTGCAATTTTCATTCAGATAATGTACTGACCAAAATAATTAAAATATATAATTAAAAACATTATTTCATGGAAAGGGGGAATCAGTAGGGAGTTGTGGCTCTTTTATATCCAGCAAGTTGTGAGTATGCTTTGTAGGCTTGGGAATTGTCCCTAAACACTTGGAGGCTCTGAACTAATACCATTATCATTCTACACAATGGTAAACAGCACTGTTTAGGGATGAGTCAAAGGGAAATTAATAGGAAGAAGCTCTCTTAAGCAAAGAGGATGTTTGCATAGAGAAGGAATTCTGTTATCTACATTTCTTCTCCCATGGTCACATAGAAATAGCTTTTTCATTCACATACGTTAAATTTCGTGGCTTTTTCTTACTGGCCTTTCCCCAAATTAATCTCTGAAATGCTTTATGATTTGTAGTTATTATTATTATTTGATACATAACAAGATTAGTACACAGCAAACAAGATCACTCTGCTGGCTTTTGTATTTGATCACATGATGGACACTTCCCAAGTGTTTAGGACTTTCTGATGTATTGGCGAATAATGCATGTAGATCTGAGTAGGGTGGCCTTTTGCAGCTGACAGATGGTAATTTTATCAGCGCCAATTGTTTTTAAGTGCAGTCCAAGGTCTTTAGGCACTGCACCCAGTGTGCCAATCACCTAGAATCATAGAATCAAAGAGTTGGAAGAGACCTCATGGACCATCCAGTCCAACTCCCTGCCAAGAAGCAGGAATATTGCATTCAAATCACCCTTGACAGGTGGCCATCCAGCCTCTGTTTAAAAGCTTCCAAAGAAGGAGCCTCCACCACACTCCAGGGCAGAGAGTTCCACTGCTGAACGGCTCTCACAGTCAGGAAGTTCTTCCTCGTTTTCAGATGGAATCTTCTTTCTTGTAGTTTGAAGGCATGGTTTCGTGTCCTAGTCTCCAGGGAAGCAGAAAAACCTGTTGTTGTTGTTATTATTGTTATTATTATTATATTTATTTATACCCCGGTTTATCTTCCCCAAAGGGGATTCAAAGAGATTTCCTGTTACACATGTTACACCTTCCTCCCTGCTCCTTGGGTTGTGATGTGTAGGCTTCACATAAGCAACAGTAAATATCTTAGCCAGGCATTATTAGTTCTCCCTCTCAGCCTGGAGATTGGTGCTACATTTGAAAAGCGGTGACAAAATGAGTAGCGTACACTGTCACTTATTCTGTCTCCCTGCTTTCAAAATACATTTTACTAGTGCTATAATGGTAGGATAAATATTTTCATCTTGTGTGGCACTGCCTCCATTATACCACCTTCAGCTAGCTGAAACAATTGTTTGAGTTCTAATATTTGCATTTGTTCCAGCTGGGTCAACTGCCGCTTAAATATACCCTCCTACGGAATCTGATACATTGTGTTTAATTTCAGAGAATACTGAGAGGTCATCGAACTAAATCTTTAGGTGATAAATCGATTTTATTAAAGCCATGCTTCTCCAACACTTCAGTGCACAAAGGTATTAAAAGCCCTCAGTACTTTCAGTCCCCTCACAGCCCTCTTTTTTTACACATGGGTGATTGAAACTAAATGATGATGACATCCAGAGCCATCCAGGCTTTGACTGGAAGAGATATCACCCTTTTGTTTGTGGAATACTATAATCCACATGAAATGGTCTCAGTCTGATAATGACATGCCCAGTGGCAAAGGCATAGACTTTTTGCAGACAGAGAAAACAAAGTAGTTCCTGATTCTTCCTGTTCCTGGATCAGTTTTCCATCATGTGAATTCCCTCCTTGTGTCAAAACACGTGGGCCTTCTAACTTACAAAACCTATTCATCTGTCATGCTTTTACTTGCCTCTGCTTCTCTGCCTGGACACCTCTTTCACAGTTTCTTAGTGTTTGCAGTTTCACTAATTCCTTTTTTCTCTGGTTGCCTTCATTGTGTTCTTGCTTTGGTTTGCATGTTGACTTATTATTAACTTTTTGCATTCTTGAAATAGTAGCTTCCTTTTAACCCCTTGCTTAGAAGGGATTGTCAGATTTGAGGCTGTAATACTTGAATAATAAGAGTAAAATTTGCCATCTACAGTAGTTTTCCAGGGATGTAATAAATGCAGAGCTCTTCATTTATTATTTCAAGGTACAAATACTTTCAGATGGTTTTGTCACAGTCTCCGGTAGTGGAAACGTGTTGTGAAGACTTGTGACTCAGGAAGGGGCCTCTTGGGCTACATGCAATGTATAAGCTATATACTGCTCACCACGGCCTTAGATGATGAAAGATGGTACTTCATTGATAAGAGAGACATTGTTGGTTACTCATAGGAGTAACCCTATATGGGCAAACAACAGGAGGACAAGCCATCTGTCCTGTTTACGCAGACTTTTTGTATGTGGAAGCTTTTTCTCCAAATGTGCTGTATATACTATAAGCCAGGGGTCTTTAAACTTTTTAAACAGAGGGCCAGGTCACAGTCCCTCAAATTGTTGGAGGGCTGGATTATAATTTGGAAAAAAATGAATAAATTCCTATACACACTGCACATATCTTATTTGTAGTGCAAGAAACACTTAAAAACAATACAATAATTAAAATAAAGGACAATTTTAACAAATATAAACATATTAGTATTTCAATGGGAAGTGTGGACCTGCTTTTGAGATAGGATTGTTGTTGTTGTTGTTGTTGTTGTTGTTGTTGTTGTTGTTGTTGTTGTTGTTGTTGTTGTGTGCTTTCAAGTCGTTTCAGACTTAGGTTGACCCTGAGTGAGGGCCAGGTAAATGACCTTGGAGGGCCGTATCTGGCCCCTGGGCCTTAGTTTGAGGACCCCTGCTATAAGCCAACCTGCATATAAGCCAAGTCACCTAATTTTACTACAAGAAAATGGGAAACGTATTGACTTGAGTATAAGCCGAGGGTGGGAAATGCAGCAGCTACTGGTAAATTTCAAAATAAAAATAGATACCAATAAAATTACACTAATTGAGGCATCAGTAGGTTAAATGTTTTTGAATAGTTACATAAAACTGTAATTTAAGATAAGACTGCCCAACTCTGATTAAACCATTACTCTAACCTTCCATATTTATTTGTCATGTCAGGGCAACCAGTCACTTATATTTATATTTATATATTTACCTCCAGTGTAAATGTGCTTACGTATCCTTCCAATTATAATAATTAGAGTAAAATAATAAATGTAATAATAATAATAATGAGTAAAATAATAAATATAAAAATAATAAATAGATTACAATAATAAATGTAATAAAAATAACGGGGTAGAATAATGTAAATGTAATAATAAAATAGTGTAAAATAATAAATGTAATAATAAAAACATTTGCTCTCTCTAGTGATGAAGCAACTAAAAAAAAGGTGAGCTTAATATATTACACTGCCAACTAAATAGGAGCAGCCTATCTTTAATTCCCTGCACCTCCTTATCTATGGATCATTGAGCCTACCTCCTTTTCCAATTCACTCATTGCACATTTACAAGCGAGAAAACGTGAAAAGTGTATTTGTGCATAGCCTATTAAAAAGACATTTCCTCAGAGAAAGGTAATCTTTCTTTACAGTAGCATGGTTCTTTTATGTGTTAGTGATGAATACCAGCAATCAAAATACAAATTCCCCAATGAGTTGTTTATACAGTGTTCAGTTCCTTATTTATTTCAGTTTGGTCAGAGTGTAGCAGGGTAGGAATAAATAAATAGTCCAGGTCACCGGGGACTTTAATTTCAATGTTCCCAGACTGCAGTTGGAGTGCATCTGTATTTGCTAGATGGAGGACATGGCCTTAATAGTAGTTTAATGGCAGTGACACTGAAGTTGCCATAATTTTTCCTAGATATCACCCTGTGAGATTACAGACAGTCACAGATCCATTAGTGCTGTTATTGTGTCTGCAGCCAAACTAAAACAAGACTCAATGGCACAGCTGTTCATGTTTTCAAGGCCAGTTTTTAAATACAACTTCTCTTGAAATAGCCAACATCAAGATTCCAGACAATTGAACATAATCATTTTAGGTATTTTGAGACATTATTTCCTCGGTATTTGCTCTCCCCCAGTGTGGATAGTATCAGTATCAGATCTCCCTCTTTGTGATAATCACTGGCTCCCTAAGCAATTATACATTTCTTTGCAAATCAGCATATAGAATGTTTTTAGAAACATTAAAGTATAAATACAAATAATATCATGTATTATAATTTTTTGGTGACAGTAGTCATCTTAAATGAGGAATGTGTATTCTAGGATGGCATCAAACATATTCATCCATCAGTGAAAAACAAAGTTAAGTTTTTTTCCCTCTTGTTCATGAACAGTTGTGAATATTTAATACATTTCTTCATCAGTCAATTCAAAAATTTCTATGGCTGATCTGTTCAGTCTTCTGTAAATTTACATTTATGGAATAACAGCCCTACACACATGAATAGTCACTGTTTTTCCTTCTCTCATATATAAATGAAACCAAAGATAGAACAAAGATAGATAGAACAGACCTCACTACCTCTGAGGATGCTTGCCATAGATGCAGGCGAAACGTCAGGAGAAATGCCTCTAGAACATGGCCCTTTTGCCCGAAAAAACCTACAAGAACCTAAAGATAGAACAGTTTTTCCATGTACTTTGGTTTTGGGGGAAGGAAAAGCTCGTTCCCATTAGTATCAATATTATACAAAGGCATGTGTCTTGCTGTGTGTTTAAGATCTGGTGTAATTTTTTGACCAGCATTTCCTTTGTAAATGAAGACATCAACCACAATAGACCTGCTGCACTGAAAAGTTGTGTGCAGTTGCTTTTGTTTGCAACTGGAAGATTTTACAGTAATTCTTAATTGTTGTTGTTACTGTGTGCCTTCATGTGATTTCTAGCTTATGGCAACCCTAAGACAAAGATACTTTATGGTTTTCTTAGCAAAATTGGTTGAGGGGTGGCTTGGTTTGCCTTCTTCACAAAATGGAAGAATGCAACCTTTAAAAGATCACTATTTGGTTTCCAGTGAGTAGAGCAGCGTTTCTGAACCTAGGGGTCGGCATCCCTGGGGGAGTCACGAGGGGGTGTCAGAGGGGTCACCAAAGACCATCGGAAAACACAGTATTTTCTCTTGGACATTGGGAAGCTTGGCCCAATTCTAGCATTGGTGGGGTTCAGAATGCTCTTTGATTGTAGGTGTATAAATCCCAGCAACTACAACTCCCAAATATCAAGGTCTATTTTCCCCAAACTCTACCAGTGTTCACATTTGGGCATATTGAGTATTCATGTCACGTTTGGTTGAGATCCATCATTTTTTGAGTCCACAGTGCTCTCTGGATGTAGGTGAACTACAACTCTAAAACTCATGGTTTTGTTTGCTTACCAAACCCTTCCAGTATTTTCTGTTGGTCATGGGAGTTCTGTGTGCCAAGTTTGGTTCAATTCCATCATTAGTGGAGTTCAGAATGCTCTTTGATTGTGGATTAACTATGAATCCCAGGAAGTACAACTCCCAAATGACAAAATCAATGCCCCAACCCCACCAGTATTCAGATTTGGGTGTATTGAGTATTTGTGCCAAATTTGGTCCAGTGAATAAAAATACATCCTACATATCAGATATTTACATTGCGATTCATAACAGGAGCAAAATGACAGTTCTGAAGTAGCAATGAAAATGTTATGCTTGGGGGTCACAACATGAGGAACTGTATTAAGGTGTTGCGGCATTAGGAAGGTTGAGGATCACTGGAGTAGAGGTTCAAACCTTGATCCTCAGAATCATAGTTTAGTGCCCAAACCACTGCGCCACATTGGCTCCTTTTAGATGGCTATATGCTAAATGTGTCGCTTCTTCTTTTTTAATAGCTGTGGATTTCTTCAATCAGATCAATATGCTTTATGGGACAATTACAGATTTCTGCACAGAGGAGAGCTGCCCAGTGATGTCTGCAGGTCCAAAGTAAGGTCTCTTGTGATTGTCTAACTGTGAGACAGAAAACAAATGCCACTTTTTATTTTATTTTCACCATTTAGTTATGAAACAGATTGTGCCCTTCCCTGAAATGTTTATGAACTAACTGCTTTTGGAACTGTGCTTGTTTATGACGGGGAGGAGGTATGGTTGTTTGATGATTTAACAAAACATAAAACCATCCATGGCATTTTTAAGGCCCAGAGTATACTTAAAGTAGATCTTTGTATAGTGTATGCAGACTGCAGATTATTTTATTTCATTTCCATTCCATTCTAGGTATGAGTACCATTGGGCAGATGGGACTAACATAAAGAAGCCAATCAAGTGCTCCGCACCAAAGTACATTGATTACCTTATGACCTGGGTTCAGGACCAGCTGGATGATGAGACACTATTTCCATCTAAAATAGGTATTTTTAAAAACAGTTTTAATACATTGTTAGCCATAAAGGTTTTTTGGATAAAGTTACAAAATGTGATCAGCTATGTTATTTCTAAAAGTACAGAAACGACAGCTTCAGCCTGAAGATGACCGAAAATTTTAAATACATACATATAGAGGCCATCTCTGTATCATTTTATACGAGTTTTCTTTTAAATTATTGCACAAAGTAAATTTTATATCTTTGGACCACATGTTCCCGGCACATCCATGTGAATTGAGTATGATGGCTTTAGTAAGCAGCTATTAGACTAGAATATTAAAATGAAGCCTTTTTTGGTTTGGTTTCTAGGTGTTCCTTTCCCAAAGAACTTCATGTCAGTAGCGAAGACCATCCTAAAACGTCTCTTCAGAGTGTATGCGCATATCTACCACCAGCATTTTGATCCAGTCATTCAACTTCAAGAAGAAGCACATCTGAACACATCCTTCAAGCACTTTATCTTTTTCGTTCAGGTAAATCATTGCAGAGGTCGCTGTGGTTTTGTCTCCCTCTGAACTGTAACCCACCCACTCATTCTCCTTGAATTTTCTGGCACTTGAAACAGTGAAGCAAATGTCTTCATATTTTCCTACCTTTTAGAAGTTCTTCATTGTTGTGATCTTAAAGACACTACCATGCCTTGCAGGGTGTACCCTATTTTGTGTCATGACACCATTTGGTTTTTTTAAAAAAGTCCTATGTATAAAGTATATGTTTAAATACAGTTTTAAAAGCATTCCGGAGAGAAGGGATAAATGGAACTTTAGCCTGATTTCAACATCTTATCACAACCATATGTTGAAAGCAGACTTCCTTTTCTGTAACCAAACCTGAAATAGACTCAGCATATGAGCTGTTTTCTGTCTTGTGTGATGCTCTGTGTTAATATGCGAATGTAGTTCATGCCAAAACAATGACCATGGTGCATTTTAATTTCTTGTTTAAGAATATGCAAATATGATTATCAGAGTGGAGTACAGATCCTGGAACACTGTTTTTCTTCAATTTCTAAGACACACTTTTTTCATATATAAACATCTGTCTGAGAATCGCAGGTGTCTCGTATATATTTTTGGTGCTGGTGGTACTGAAATTGGGGTGCATCTTACAATCGATGTGTTTTACAATTAAAGAAATACGGCAGTTAGTCCTATCTTGACACAAAGTCCCGTCACATTTTGTGCAGCTTGCAGTAACAGATTTCTATTACTATAGGTGTTCATTTGCATAGAGCCATTAACCTATAACTAAAAAAATGGTGCATTCCTAAATACAGGTTCTGCACCACTGCTTCACAAGCTTAGGAACATTGCAGAGTTGTAGTTAGGAAATTGAGGGTTCTTTTTCTACCCACAAGGGCTGAATTTGTGACTGTCTGCACCTGCTTGAAAAGGATCTTCCTGTTTAGATTTTCTTCTGACCTTTTAAAAAGCAGCAATTTAAAAAATAGTGTTAACTTTTCTGCACAGTTAAACTTTTCTAACCCCCTTTCTCCATCAAGTGTGAGTATTAATTAAAATTTAAGTGTAGGTATCTTTGTTGTGATCCAGCTTAAGTTGACTCTAGCCCAGTCATGGGCAAACTTCGGCACTCCAGGTGTTTTGGATCCCAACTCCCACAATTCCTAACAGTAGGCTGTTAGGAATTGTGGGAGTTGAAGTCCAAAACACCCGAAAGGCCAAAAACCACCCATGCCTGGTCTAGCCCTATCCACTACTATATTTTAAATTCCTTTTAGGGTATTTGTTATAATGTTTACTTATGTTTTAGTTAACTATGTCTTATTGGATTGTTTTTGTTTTATTTTTCATCACAATGCTTCATTCTCTGTTGCAAATTCACTGTCATCACTGTTGCTTTATTGTGTATTATTTTGATACCTTTGTACTCACCTGAGGCATTGAATGCTTGCCTTTTTGCACTTGTAAACTGCCTTGAGTGGTCTAGAAAGAAGGTGGTCTAGAAATAGAGGAGTTGTTGTTGTTGTTGTTAATGTCACTCTGAATTGTTTGGGGTACGGAAATAAATAGCCAACTGAGATTTTGTTTTTATTTCTATCTCCTGCAGGAATTTAACCTTATAGACAGAAGAGAACTTGCTCCACTTCAAGAACTGATTGAAAAACTCACTTCAAAGGACAGATAAGCAGAGATGTATTTGTGCAAATCACTTGTTTCTTTAAACAGGCATGTGGTGTTTTAGGGATTTGGGCTGTGATACTCTACACGTTAATTGAGATCCATGGGACGAACTCCTCTAAGTTAAGTGTATGGAGGTTTGCAGTCTTTTAATTTGTTTGTTTTTAGAAAGAAAGAAAAAGGAAATTTGTTCTGTTTTTATTTGGGCAACCTAGATTCATTCTCTGTGCTTTTATTAGAAGGAATCCTTTGTCTTTTAGTGAGACACACACACAGTAAATGGCTTTCTGTTCTTTTTTCATTGTGTACCTTTTAAAGAAGTTGTGTGTTTAAAAAGAAGAAGAAAAACCATGCTTGTTGGGAAATGTGACACTGCTGGTTGTATGGGTTCTGCATTGCCAGTTGTAGCCCATTCTCAGAAGGTCTTTACAGAGACTAAACCTTCTCTAAGTGCCTTGGCAGACTCTCTTCTGAGGTACAAAGCACATACCAAGAACACTGCTGGAAACAAAAGATACACACGTTACTACCCAGGACACTTACTAACACTTGTTATATACAAATAAATATGTGTAGAACTTTTAAAATAAGCCATAAAACTTCTATCAGTGATCTCCAGCTTTTAATACAAAGCAATGCCTTTAGAGATGAATGTGGGCTATAGGAAGAGGAGTGAGAGAGGGGCTCGTTTTAATTTTTGTATTGTCCTGCTCAGAAACCCATCTGTTTATTCTTAGACCTCTGGTGGACCAAGGATAGAATAAGATTGGCAGCTTTCTTCTTTGTTGCTTGCATTTAGTCAGTAAATACTAACTTCTGATTTAAATCTGCTAGTGAGCTTTTCCTTCCCAGGAATGAGCAGTCTTGCAGGGGATCAGGTTAAAAATAAAGGAGTGGTGTTATCAAATAATCTCTAAAAACCTCAAATAAATGAATGATAGTCCTTTTAATATAGGGTAGCATCAATTTCTTAGTTATTTTTAAAATGAATAGAAGGTTTCTCATTCCCATCGTCATATTGATTCTGAATAGTCTCTTCACATTATAAGTTGTGCAAAGAGAGTAACTAAATGCATCCATTTTAAAAAACGTTTTGGAGGCTGGTGTATACATCTCTTTTTTCATTATAGTCACTGTAATTTTGATACAGTTTGGTTACTCTTTTTTTGCCCATTTTTCTGTCTTTTCAAATGAGGAAAGGGGCCATTGCCTAGATGACCATCGCCAAGAGGCCAGTGTCTGAGGATATTCATAACAGAGCATGGATAAACCTTTTTCCCCCTTCGCATCTGAAACTTGACACTTTTCTGAGGGTGCAGTCCGAAATCAAAAATGCCACGATGCTTGGATAAAACCAGTTATAATGCCTCAACTCTTGCAGATTGTTTGAAAGACATAAATTGGTTTCTATAATCTGTAAGTAGTCTCCATCCTTGGGCTAAACTGAATTGAAATCCCATTCTTGATGGCAACACATTAAAAGCATATGCTCCGTAAAAAAGAAAGCATGCATGTTCTTTTAAAATTCGTATGTACACAACTGCTTCTCATACTGTGGCTTAGTGTCCATGGGATTACATGCATGTTTTGTGTACTTTAAGGATTGTAGCATCAACAATATATTTTTGAGACTGAGCTATATTTCCTTGTAACATTAGAAAAATCAGAATTGCCATGAACATTTTATTTGGCCCAACATAATTCATGCTTTTGATCTTGGAAATGCAATTAGTTGTTACTGCTTTTCCTTGTACTGCTTTTGGACCTACTTGATTTTGTAAGAAATGCTACTTTTTTTTAAAAAAGGTGGAAAGTACAGACACCTTACAAATGTCCCCCATCCTTATAGTAATTCAAGTATTTCCTTAAAAAGAAGTGTTTTTAGCCAAGGGTGGGATCTTGCTCCATTTCCTGCTGAAATAATATAGGACTTGGTACTTCATAATAATTTTGAATAGTTTACTACCTTGGGCATAATACTTGCACTGCATATTTTTAAAACTTGAAATCACGTTCTTTTAGAGGCTGTGTTGAATATGAATAAGGCTGTGAACAGAGTATGTCAAGTTTCAAATACTTACTGGGAAAAGAATAATACAAAAATACAAATTTTGATTTGCATTCATTGCTGACTCCCTCATCAAAACTAAAAGCCTAGATTTCACTGTCTGAGAGTGCTGTTGGTTAGCCTTTGCTGATCGCATTAAATATGAAGACAGAAACATCTAAAATACAAAGACAGTGTTTAAACTAAGAATTCCTTTTTTGTATTGCATTGGGGATATTGAGTGCTTACCTTTGTTCGTCTTTAGAAGATTGTTTATTGCGTAAGGGTGCATTAAAATGCAAATATGAAAGTCTCCTTTATCTTTCAGCTGACCAGGCATCTTGAACACCAAGCACTGTGGTATCATTATAAACAAAATCACAATCTGGATCTGGATTTTAATTTTAAAGTGATATTCTCTTTAAATGCTGGATATCTATTTGATATAAAACATTGGATGCTGAACACCGGGGATTGACTTCTTAGTCACATCTAGCCACTTATGAACCCTTTTTTTCCTTCTCTTCTGAAGGAAGAGCCTTAAAACTTCAGGAGGCTGAAACCATTTTGCTCTTGCTTCAGTTCTTGCTGTATTGCTTTCTCTTGTTGATGTTGTTAATAACTCCTAGAGGTAATCTACCTCAGTTCATTGAGACCGAGCAAAAGTGATGATCGAAAACGTAGGTGCAAGTCCATCACAACCAGTTGTGTTGTTCTTTCTTAGGCCAGTGATAGATTTAATTCCAGCAATTCACGTTGTTCTGACTAAAATTTAAAATGCTATACAAATGTTGTACGTTATACTTTTACATATTAACATCAGGGATCCATGCTAACTGTGTAAGGATTAAATGTCCCATATTCTGCTGTTACTGGTAGCAGGGCTTTGGAGAAACAGCTTTCCGAAAGGACAAAAGGCCCTTCTGCAAGTACATGCGACTTTTTTCTTTTACTGCTTACTATGCAACACTGAATATTAGTAGTTACCTTAAGGTAGAAAAACAGAGACCCTGTTGAAATTTTTGACCTGAAACTTCTCTCTCAATCTCCCTTCAAAGGCAAAAGGCCAATTTGCTGCTATTGACTCCTCTTGGTTGTTGTTGCTCTTAAAATCCTTCTTTTTTCCTTGAACCCATGCTTTGGATCACCATACAAAGTTGTAGTTTTTTTTAAATAGTTTTTTTGGTTTGGCAAATACCCAAAACTAGCCAAAATATATTATTTCTCCCTAGGGTGCTATATTGTAGTTCTGTTATAATTTAACATGAAGGTGAGCCTGCCAATTTTTCAACTGCACCACTATCATATTACTTAAAATATTAGGATGGGAGTGAGACTGCTTAGCATTTCTTTTCATAGATAAGAGATTATTTGGGCTTTCTAGACCACATTTCTTGAACCACTAGCCACTTTAGCGTGAAATATTTACATTTATGTAAAAGATTACTTGGCATCTTGTACACACATTTCCTTGTTTGAAATATAATTCCTTCCTAAAACTGCCATTTCAAATTTTAAAATGCTTTTGTTTGCTTTTTCTCCCCTCCAAGAGCACTGTCCTTTCAATAGTTTTTCATAGATTACTGTATTTTTAGGGGAAATTGATTTTTATAGCCACTAAACTGTATTCATTATTTTTGTACGTGTTATAACTAGGTCATTTGGGGACACAGATCTTTAAAAGGGCCGTTTTGTTTCCACTTCGATGCATTGATTTGCAGATAGCGTGTTGCTAAATATTGCCATATTAATTGTTACCTTTGACTTGCAGTGGAGGGGGGAAGACTTGAAAATAATAACTCAGTGATAGCCTTGGTACATATAGACCATAGACAAATCCATCTAATTGGCTTGAGATGTAGGATGATGAAAAGAAGATTATAAAAATTGAAGGATTACTTTCAGCAGAATCGGGTAGTCAAGATTTTCCAACTTCAGGATCTACTTGGTGGTGTATCTTTATATGCAAGAATAGCAGAACTTCTTGCAAGGCCTTCTTGATGAGCTTCCCATATCTGTTCTGCGGTGGGAGTACTTAAGTATTGCAAGCTTCCCCCATTTTGCAGAGACCAAGGAAGTCTTACTGTTCGATTCTGCTGATTTGAATTGATTAGGGATCCCAGAACTTGACTTATGTAACATCTTGGGGTTGCTCTCATTCATGAATTCAACCCGCTGCAAGTCTGAAGTCCTGGAGCTGCTTTATCCAAGACAGAAAGGTATTGAAGATGCAACGCAATCCCACCTGCATCTTTTAAGTGCTTCAAAGCAGCTGAACACAAAAGGTTTAATATACAAAATGCAACACAGACACCTGTACTGTAAAGCGGACTGTGCCAATATTACTTCAATTTGTAGTCATTATCGATCATTGCTTGTTTTTAAATGAAAACAGCTTTTTGATTTAAGAGAAAAAAAAATTGAATGTCTGATATTCTGCAACACATGTATTGGAAAGATGTAAATAATGTATACAGATTGTTGTAAGTGATGGGATTGAAAAAAAAAGTATATAAATTCTAGGCTTTTTCAGTAAGAAACTGAATGCTGTTTATAAGGAGAAAAATAAATAGCTATGTTTGACCATTGATTGCCTTTCTTCCCCTTCTCATCCTTGCCGGTTCTTTGTAGATGGACATTCATCCTCTGTCTCTATACATTGTACACATCTGAGCATCCCACATGATATCATTCCTTTGTGTAATTACCTCACCAGTATTTGTGAACCCTCTGTATTGCGAGCAAATCTGATAGCAATAAAATGAAACTATTCACGTTCCATTTCCTAAACTCATGGCATTGAAAGGTTGGCAAAAAACTGATGTTCCACAAGAAGAGGAGGAAGGCAAGACCAGTCTCCAAACTGTAGCTTGCAAATGTTATCTTTTGGACTGCAACATCCAGAATTCCCCTGTCGACATTGGTCATGACATTGTAATCCAAAAAGAAAGGAAAAAAGCCATCAGCAATGCCCTATATTAATACTTTAATAATAATAATAATAATAGTAATAATAATAGTAGTAGTAATATCTTGCCACCATCTCCCAACAGGAACTCAGGTGGCTTACAGAGCAGCACATGATGGTGCCATACAAAACACATAAAATACAATACATCGGCATTTATAAATCAACACCAATTGATATAAAACAACACTTACAGAAATTAAACAAAATTCCAACTGAATTTAAATAAAGTGCTCAATAGAATGCAGCAGTAGCCATTAGTTAAAAATGGGCAGTGCAACCAAGTTGAATGTCCCAGCTACAAACCAGTTAAAATGCCAATGTTAAAGTGTCAATATTAGCTGGTATCCTAACCATTGTTAAAGACCTTCTTGAAAAGCCATGTTTTCAACTCTTCGAAAGCATGCCCATGTGGAGCTTGCCTGACTTCCCTGAGGAGGGTGTTTCAAAGCCGGAGGGCACCGAGAAGGCTCTCTCTCTCGTCCCCAACAACCACACTTGAGACAGAGGTGGAACTGAGAGGAGGTGGAACGAGAACACGCAGGTTCATAGGGGGAGATGCGATCACAAAAAAAGGCTGGACCTGAAATGTGTAGGGCTTTGTAGATGATAACCTGCACATTGAATTTGGACCAGAAACTTATCGACAGCCAGTGGAATTGCTTTAATAGGGGCAATAGGTGCTCCCTATAGCTAGCCCCAGTTAGTAGCCTGGCTGCCAGTCTTTGCACTAATAGCAATTTCCAAGTCATCTTCAAAAGCAGTCCCATGTAGACTGCATTGCAGTAATCCATTCTAGATGTAACTAAGGCATGGACCACAGTGTGCAAGTCAGGCTTTTCAAGGTATGGTCACAGCTGGTGCACAAGATTTAGCTGTGCAAAGCCCCTCCAAGCCACCGTAGACAACTGAGCTTCAAGCATCAGCACTGAGTCCAGGCCTTGTAACTGACCAGGAGGAATTGTGTCTTGTCTGGATCAAACTTCAGCTTGTTAGCCCTCATCCAGTCCATCACAGATGCCGGGCACTGGTCCAGGATCCGGGGAGGTTCCTTGGATTAGATGGAAAGGAGTAGTAGAGTTGTGTGTCATCTGCCTAGAGATGAACCCTAACCCCAAAACTCCGGATGACCTCACCCAATGGTTTCATATAGATGTTGAAAAGCATGTGGAATAGAATAGAATAGAATTGAACCTTGTGGGACCCCACATGTCAATGGCCAGGGGTCTGACCACGTGTTCTTCAGCATCACCATCTGGGTATGATCCTCCAAGAAAGAGTGAAGCCACTCCAAGGAAGTGCCCCAAAGACCCATTCCGGAAAGCCAACCCAGAAGGATACTATGGTCAATAGTATCGAAAGCTGCTGAGAGACCCAAGAGAACTAGGAGAGACACACTTGCCCTGTCTAGTTCTCTGCAGAAGTCATCCACCAAGACAATCAAAGCTGTTCCGTGACCAGACCTAAAACCAGATTGTGAAGGATCAAGATAATAATCGGCTTCATCCAAGAATCACTGGTGCTGAGAGGCCACCATTCGCTCTAGAACCTTGCTGAAAAAAAGGAGATTAGAAATGAGCCAGTAGTTATTTAATACTGAGAAGTCCAGAGACAACTTCTTTAAGGTTGGTCTCTCTCTTTGATCCTACTCTTTTTGGCCTCTCTCTTTGATCCTACTCCTCTCAGAGATGGCTCTTTCCCCCTGAATGATGTCTTTAGGATCAGGCATGGGCCAAGTTGGGCCCTCCCTCTGGTAGGCTGTAAGGAATTGTGGTAGTTGAAGTCTGAAACACCTGGAGGGCCAAAGTTTGCCCATGGCTACTTTAGGATGGTATTTTTCATACAACACTGGCCATTGCCAACTGAGGGCTTCACAGGTCAATAAAAAGATCTTTACTATGGAATTTTAGAACAGCTCTTTTAGCTGTTCTAAAATTCAGCACAAAAAGACCACTCTTTGGAAGCACAAAAAGACCACTCTTTGGAAGTTTTGTATGCTAAAAGTTGATAATAAGGCATACATAATTACATCTATATTTTTTGTGTCAGGAGTGACTTGAGAAACTGCAAATTGAGAGAATTGGCTGTCTAGAAGGACATTGCGCAGGGGACACCCGGATGTTTTACCATCCTGTGGGAAGCTTCTCTCATGTCCCCGCATGAGAAGCTGGCACTGACAGACAAGAGCTCACCCCGCTCCCTAGATACGAACTGCCAACCTTTCAGTCAGCAGTCCTGCAGGCACAAGGGTTTAACCCATTGTGCCACCAGGGGCTTGGGGTTTTTTTAAGAGTTTTTTAATTACAGCAGCAAAACAACAGAGAGGAAACAATCAGGCACATCTAATCACCTCTCAACAAAAGATTTCCCCAGGCACTGCCAAGCCATCAAATGCTAATTAAGGTGGTCAGTTGAAACATTCACACCTAGCTCCAGTAGGCAAGAGTTCTTTGTCCCACCCTGGTCATTCCACAGATATATAAGCCCTTTTTCCTACTTCCAACAGAACTCACTACCTCTGAGGATACTTGCCATAGATGCAGGCGAAACGTCAGGAGAAAATGCCTCTAGAACATGGCCATATTACCCGGAAAAACCTACAACAACCCAACTTGTTCATCGTTGGCAGAAATGTATCCAATTGTCTGGTGATTATGTGGAAAAGTGAATAGTGGTAGTTAAAGAGCACATTCTAAGGCAGTGTTTCTCAACCTGGGGGTCGGGACCCCTGGAGAGGTCGCAAGGGGGTGTCAGAGGGGTCGCCAAAGACCATCAGAAAACACAGTATTTTCTGTTGGTCATGGACGTTCTGTGTGGGAAGTTTGGCCCAATTCAATTGTTGGTAGGGTTCAGAATGCTCTTTGATTGTAGGTGAACTATAAATCCCAGCAACTACAACTCCCAAATGTCAAGGTGTATTTTCCCCAAACTCCATCAGTGTTCACATTTTGGGCATAAGTGAGAATTCGTGCCAAGTTTGGTCCAGATCCATCATTGCTCTTTCGAAGTAGGTGAACTACAACTCCAAAACTCAAGGTCAATGGCCACCAAACACTTCCAGTATTTTCTGTTGGTCATGGGAGTTCTGTGTAACAAGTTTGACTCAATTCCATTGTTGGTGGAGTTCAGAATGCTTTTTGATTGTAGGTGAACTATAAATCCCAGCAACTACAACTCCCACAGGACAAAATCAATACCCCCCCCCCCCCAAATATTCAAATTTGGGTGTATTGGGTATTTGTGCCAAATTTGGTCCAGTGAATGAAAATACATTCTGCATATCAGATATTTACATTACTATTCAGCGAAATGACAGTTATGCTATAGCAACGAAACTAATTTTATGGTTGGGGGTCATCATAACATGAGGAAGTGTATTACCGGGTCGTGGCATTAGGAAGGTTGAGAAACACTGTTCTAAGGATTATTTGCAGGTCCCTAAATGCGTTTCTAATGCCACCCTGCGACTAGAGACGGGCTTTATGAGAGTGGAGGCCAGGGTGTGGGTGGCCATACTCAACCTCTGGCTCAGACTGTCCCGTGCACCCCTTGGCCTTGCCCCACTAACCATGAAGGATGACTTCCAATCCACATGGAAGCAGGCGATAGCATCAAAAATCTCATCATTGGGATTTTCTCCAGGCCTACTACTCGCTATGGATTACAATCAAGCCAAAGCACTTATCAAACAACGTATCACAGACACAGAGCGACAACTAGATCTGGCCTCGGTTCCACCCTTATCAATGAAGACAGCAGATATCTTGCCTCCCCTATGGCATATTTAACAAACTTAGAGGTTCCTCTTCATCAAAGGGCTTTCACCCTGGCTTGATGCCACGCTCTCCCATCAGCTGTACTCGAAGGCCGCTACCGGAGGATCCCTTTCCCAGAGAGACTCTGCCCCTGTGACCCGGGTCATGTAGAAACAATAGAACATGTGCTCCTTCAGTGCCCGTTCTACAGGGATATCCGTGCCAGGCTTATCTTACCTTGGTTATACAAGCACCCAGGCCATTCAGGACAATTTTACACCTCCATGCTACTTGCAGATATTAATTCAGCTACAACCTACAATGTTGCAAAGTTTTGTGCAGCAGCATACAAAATCTGTCAGGGAATGACTACTCCCAAAAGTTAACTGTGTGTCCAGTAATCTTCTCTGAATCTACAATTTGGTGATGGATCTGGGTGAAGGAGTGATGACATTATTATGTCCCATTGAAGTGACAATGCGCCTCTGGGCTTTTACTGGCAAACCATTCTAGTCTGGACGCGCATGAGAAATTCCAGACCCCTGACACTTATGCTTCACACCATTTTGGCAAAGTATGCAGGGCATCATGACCTGGGACTGGTACAGTAGGCTACCTCACCTATGATGAGCTCACCTCTAGCCAATTACTCTGCAATTATGTTATCCAACCCACTGTTACTATGCAAGCTTTGCAAAGAGCACAAGAAGGTTATATAAACAGCTTGGCTAGTCAATAAACTTCGAGATCACCTTCACCCTCCTGGACTGCCTGTCTTCTTCATTCGTCGCTACATCTGTTCATTCGTCGCTACATCTGTCCAACCGTTCCCAAACTCGTGAGTAGATGGGTGGAAATGTGTCAACT